CAATAAGTACTAGTGGCAATCATTGTCATAATTATTATTATTTCTATCACTTTATGCAGAGCAGGGTGCTGTGGGTTCTATACAGAAGTGTCCACCCTTTCCATGGGCTCTCAGAGGTATCTCCAAGAATGGGAGCTCTCTGTCCTCGGGAAGGATTTCTCTCTACTCATAACAAATTAATACATGTTTTATTTTCCTAAGGTTCTGCATATTTTTCATCCATAGCTTTCACTTGGTTTTCAAGATGACCCTATGACCCCCAAACAATTAGTGATCATTAATTCTGGTTCAGGCTTCTCATTTTAGAGATGAAAAAAACAGAATCGCAGGTAGGTAAGTTGTTTGAGCTCACACAAATATTCATAACACAGTGAGGACACGACTATGGTTCTTAAGACCCCAACCTGGTGTTTCATTTTCTGTTCCATGCTGCATATATAAAAGGAGAAAAGGAAGACTGTTTGAGGTGTGCAATGGGAGAGGGGGTATCAAAGGCATTTCCCCATTGTTTCAAGGTTACCATTTACCTGAATTAATGGACTCCACCTGCCTGTCCACATTTGGAATCCACAACTATAGTGGATATTACTGCCACATCACTCTTATATTTCTCTTTGTCCATACTGTTAAAAGCCTTCTTAGATCAGAGATGACTGACAAGCAGGATTGCAAGGTCAATGATCCCTCACATGCCGAAGGAGGAGTATCTTTTCCATCTGAGAGAAGATGAGGTGGAGTGTAAGAAATATTCAGCTGGGAACCAGTCATTAGCTGATGGTTTCTTAATCTCTTTTGGGCTGGGGATTTCTCATCAGTAAAATGAGTGGGCTGGATAGTGTCGATCGATTTCCAAGTTTTTTGATTGTGACCATGAAAAAAATACCCGGAATATGAATGTGTATGTACATTTTTTGAAAACTTTTTCAGTAAATTATTCTTACCCACATAATATGGGATACATCCTGATAATTTATATCCTATTTCTTCCCTTTTTTAATGAAAAATTCTGACTGTTGTCACAATCCATTAAGTTGATTTTACTGCCTCCTAATGGAGACTGGCAGTTAAAAATACTGGGTCATTCCAGTGACTCAAAAGTCATTCACTCACTTAGTTGGTCAATCATTGTAGAACTGCTTATTGAGTATTTATGAGGTGTCAGCACTGTGTTGGGATCCGGGAAAATGGCAGTGAGCAAAACAAAGAACCTATCTTTATGATGCTTATAGCCTGTGAAATCTCTGATTCTGTGAGGTGATGTGTGATAGGCTTTTTCAGAGAGAAGGGAATGCCATCTGAATCAACTAAAGTCATAGAATGTGTCTGACTTAAGGAAGAAAAAAGCAGCAGAAACACAAGTTTTTCGGAACCCCTGGCAGGAAACCACTGAAAGGCCAAAACTAAACCCAAATTGCATGAGTTTGTGTCAAATGAAGATTTTCTGTGGGTCCTAAATCTAGGACCTAAAGTGCCCCTATAACTACTTGGAAATCCCTGATGATGTTTCTCCTTCTACCATACTTTGCAAAGATCGAGGTGGCTTGACTGGGCACTCTTGGATAAAAGATTCCAGAAATTAAGGAGTGAGCAGTGGAAAGGAATGCTGGATAGCACTCTGACTGAGGGACACTCCCCTGCAAGGTCTTAACCACGATGGTCACACACTAGCCACACCCCCAGCACTTCAAACTTACAGGTGTAGAATTGAGTTTTTCAGAAACCATGCTGTACCGTTTTTATCCAGCAGAGGGAAGTAGAGCACCCAAAATCATTGCATAAATATCTATGAGACACACACACACACACACACACACACACACACGCCTGCTTGATATATGTCCTGTGACTTTAGGTACTGAAGAATAATATCACAGGATTGCAAACAAATTCTGGATAAAGCCAGCGCTCTGGGCAAAATCCTGAAAAAGGAGATGCCTAATTTAGGCAACTGCTTTATTTTAACCTCTGCCAGTCTGCTATCTCCCATCAGTTCCTGGGAGTCATCAACCAGCATGAGGCCCTCTTTCGGGTTTGGTCTGCTGGCAGACTGCTCTTTCCATATTTTCCTTTCCCCACGTTGTGAAACACCTGCTAAAGTCATGTGATATTTCTGTGGTCTTCTGAGTCCAGGCTTTATGCACAGCCTTCAGACCGTGGCACTTTTTACTTGAGCTGTCAGGGATGGTCAGTTTCCTGCTCTCTCCTGTATATTGCACCAAGTGGAAAATGGTGAGTGCAGACTGAAGCCTGCTCCATGCTGAGTAGTCATGTTTGGGAGAAACGGGATATAAACTCTTTAAAAAAAGATTTCATTTACTTATTTGAGAGAGTGAACAAGAGAGAGAGCACAAGCCAGGCGGTGGGGGGAGAGGGAGAGGGAGAAGCAGGCTTCCCGCTGAGCAGGGAGCCCCATGAGGGGCTTGATCCCAGGATCCTGGGATCATGACCTGAGCCAAAGGCAGCAGCTTAACCAACTGAGCCACCCAGGCGCCCTGTGATATAAACTCCTAATCATACCAAACTTCAGGGTTCAAGCAGTTTTCCGAAGCCCTACCTTTTTTTTTTTTTTATCCCCCCCACCCTTCTTTACACACTTGTCCCTGTGCTTTTTAGCATTGATGCAACACGGACCAGCTTCCTCTCCTCAGGGGTGATGGCATTTTTAGGAGAATATAGACCAAGAAAAGTTTTCCTCACCATGCACTTCTAGGGTCTGAAAGTATTAAAACACACTTGGTTAGCCATTTAACTATTGTGTTCTTCTGGAACAGAAAGGCATTTGAGCAGAGGCCACTCCTCAAATAGAAACAGATGACACAATGGACAATAGGCTTAGGCATGACTTACCCTTTCCAGCCCCCATGGACTCCTTCCCTACCCAAACTAGGGAATATAGACCCAAGTGCAACCATGCAGTTAGTCCAGAAGGGCTCTTTCAAGTGTATCCTAATGCCATGGATTTACTTTTATTAAGATAGGGGGGAGGGCAGGATCGTATAACTGGTAAGAGTTAAAGGTTATTATCAAGAGTCAGCAAGGATTATAGCTACCAGCGTTTCTGGATACTCAGCATCAATGAGGTGGAGAGAAGTGAGAGAGGCATCTTCAACCTCTTTAAAGGTTGAACTTACCATTTTGAAGTATTCTTCCAGTAGCTGGCTTGTATCCTAGGTCAGTGGCTAAGATATAATGCAATGGACAGATGCTTTTAAAGTTTTCAGTAAATTCAACAATGGTAATTCATCGATTTTTAAAGCATTAAATGCCTGCATTAAAGTAATAGACTAATCGAAAATTTTTAAAAATTTAAAGGTAAAAAAAGGGGAGGGGGGCGCCTGGGTGGCTCAGTCGTTAAGCGTCTGCCTTCGGCTCAGGTCATGATCCCAGGGTCCTGGGATCGAGCCCCGCATCGGGCTCCCTGCTCCGC